TCAATTATCACATGATAGAAAATTGTACTCTGTCATATAACTGAAATTCGCCAAAAATCATCTCAAAAATTTTCCAAACCTCAAATAAGTTAAAATATTTGGTACAACCTTCCTCGTAAACAACCTCGGCCTTAAAAGTCTCCATCTATTCTTTCCCCGAGTCAATGGGCCAGATAAATTGTATTGTTGCCTTTCTAAGCTAAATAAACTATTTCCTTTAAAAAATACACATTATTGAGAACTACTCTTTTATAATGTGAAATTGTGAATTATTAAAGAATAAATTTGTACTTTCCAGACTGGCCTTTGGAGAAGTACATAGACAGGACAAGGCCGTATGATATACATATATATATTTCTCTCTTGCTCAATTTCGTCAGTTTTACGGATTCAATGGTTTCTTCTTACCAAATATATATATTCCTTTTCTCTACACAAATATTTCAATGGTAGTATCTTCTTCTCTATTTTAAATCCCTAGGGAATATATTGACTTAGTACCTACATTACTGGATAATGATACATTTAAGAAAAATATACAAACAAAAACGTTATTGCAATCCACATTTGACACATTTCCAGCAATAGCGAACCGCAAAATAAGAAAACGATGATTATACTCTCTATAAAAGCATTCGAATTATTATTTTTAATCTCTAATAGCCAATAGTTTACTTGTCATTAGTATTCAACTTTGCAATCACTAATATTGATAATAGAAAATGGGCGTTGACTTATCTCTCTGTCTCTCTCTTTATTTTTATCAAACCAAAACACATCAAAAGTTTTTAAAAGTGCTTTGAAACTACAACTTCAACAGCAAAACAAGGAAATACATACATATAGTTCACAATGCCCATATCATTTTTAACGATGTTCTGCTGATGCAGCATTCTATTTCCCGACGCGTAGCACCATTATCAGCCTACTGCAAGAACTCCCTCGGGTCAGTGACATAGCCGGTTAGAGCCGATGCTGCAGCGGTGTAAGGAGAAGCTAAGTAAATCTGCCCTTCTTTGTGTCCCATCCGACCAGGGAAGTTCCTGTTCGTTGTTGAGACACAAACCTGTAACACGGTTTTAATACGCATTTCTGTCAGTCTCGCGACATATAATTCATATCGAGAATTTTTAAACTCCCAAGGGATTTAGGGATTAGCTTTTTAGGCGCGATCCAGCATTTATAAAGCGATTTACTAATTTTTTGAATACGCAAAAGAATAATTGGATAAGTAGGTTAAGAAACGGGTACGTACTTGAGGTTCATTCAAACGAGCGTAGGTGTCTGATGGGCCACCAAGGCAAGCGCCACAGCTAGGACTGGCTGGTGTGTCACAGCCAGCTTCTTCAAATATCTGTGCACATGTCTTACCACCTGATCCAGGTACCGGGAGGGCATACACGTCCATCCACACCTAAATGACATGACCAGATTTGATTTTGTGTTCTGTGAAAAGATAACAAAGCACAATCAAGCGATAACAACAATGATGAAAAACGTAGTGCTAACCTTCTGAGTAGCCGGGACAAGGAAAGTTGGGACTTTCACCTTCTTTCCCTGCAAACACACACAGATTTTCAATGAGGCTTAACGGCAACAAGAATAGAAAATAACCTTAGACAAAGAATCAACAGCATATTCTTAATACCAAACAACATGCCAGCAAAACAAACAAAACACATAAGAATGCTTGCCAGATTACTAAGGAAACTATTGCCTGCTGTACTGTAATGACGGCTTTGTTTAGATCAAGAACACAGGATAACATGTTGTTTTGTAAGTTTGAGTTTGCAGCTAAACAGTGGTAAGCATGTCTCGACTAAGACAGTCAACAAGTGGAACTTACAGATGCATAGAAAAGTTTAGCTGCAGCCATAAAATCTTCTGTCTTTCCACCAGTACATGAACCGATATATACTCTGTCAATTTTCACATCTTTGCATTCTCTTGCTAGAGCCCGGTTGTCAGGCGAATGAGGCTGAAAACAAAAAAATTGACAATAGCAATTCAATTATAATAACCTGAGGTGGCAAAAAACAACTCAATGTTTAAATTGGTAATCATGGTAAACCCCCACCTTAGCCACCACAGGCTCCAGCTTTGACACATCAAATCTATATTCTGCGGCAAAGCTATGGAAGAAAAAAACGAAAAATATGGTTACAAAAAAGGTTAAATTACAGAGAGATAACTGCAGAGGAT